CATTGACACTGTGAAGGTTCAGAGTATTTCCATCACCTTCAAACATCCCTCCTGTTGCCATTTTATAGCCAGTTTTGCTCTCCTTAACCTTCCTTCTTCTTGACAAGGGCTAATATTCTGTACTTCTGTGATTTCAGGAAGGAGCCTACAGCACTGTAACCTTTGGGGAGTGGTGTTTCTCTGTCCTGCAGAACTCTTTAGAGACTCATCCAGGTCACTGCACTGATCAGTAGTCCATTTTATGCCTGAGCACTACACCACCATATGGGTGTATTTTGGGTTAATATTTACTTGTTGAGGGACACTTTGGTTGTTCCCAGTTTGGGACTGATATAAATAAAGTTGCGAGGAATATGCATGGACAAGTTTTTGAGTAAAGATGTCTTGATTTTTCTTGGATATTTTCCAAGAATATGAATGCTGTAATATATGTTAGTTTCTTGTTTTGTTTTATAAATTGCCAAACTTTTTCAGAGTAGCCAATAGTTTGATATATATATATATATATATATATATTGTATTCAAAGGACTTACATTGAAATTTCCACTTGCCACAAGTGACTCTAAAGGTCTGACATCAAATGCAATCTGTAATTTAAAAAATGGATTTTTAAAGCCATTTTTTACTGACTAGATTCACTAGTAGATAAGGCCAGTGTTCTGCCCAGCTTTTAATTCATAATAAAATTTCATCTTTCTCTATTTATTGCTCCATGTTAAAAGAACATACATTTCCTAGGATTGTTAATAGTTATTAATAAAGTGGTACCTTCTTTTATAAGTTAAAAGCTACACCTAATTAATTTGACCTCTAATAAAACCTTCTGTCTGTCCAGTGAATGCCTTGAGGGTGTAGCTTTGTAAGAAAGCACAGGAGCTATTGTATCACAGTAGTCATTTATGTGTGCCATTTTGTCTCGTTAAGTTTTTTGTAAATGTTTCCTTCATAAGTATTCCTTGTAAACAGTCTTTGTAATAATTTAGTATCTCAAGACAGTGGATAGGTTATAGCTTTCCCATGGGACAAAAGCAAGAATATTTGATTTTTAACTTTTGTACATAACATAATAATAATCTTAACTCATTGCTCATGACTATTCAATTTTTCTTTTAATGTGGTTTTTCCACATGCCATCTACCATTAACTATTGGGTTAGTCCTCTGGTACTTCACTTTTTTTTTCATTTATTGACTCAGATTTCTTCATTAACTTTTCATGCAACCTCATTTATTTTGCTTTTATAGTCCTTTTGATCTCTGTGATTTCTGTTAATGAATCAGTAAAAGAATGAAATTTTTACAGTTTTAAAGTATTTATTTGGCCAGGTGTGGTGGTGCATGTTTGTAATCCCAGCACTCAGGAGGCTGAGGCAGAAGGATCACCATGAATTTGAGGCCAGCCTGGGCTACATATTGAGACCCTGTCTCAAACAAAACAAAATAAAATGAGACAATGAAGTATTTTTTTATAGGTAAAGCTCAAATAAATATTTTAAAAAGACTTTATACATTTTAACTTCCCTTAGATAATCAGCATTTAACATCACAGGTATAGGAATTCAAAAGTTAAATTTGAAAAGTTAAGTAAAGAAACAAGTGTTCAGAAAAGTGTGGTATATTATGCAAGGATTTTATTTTATTTTATTTTATTTTATTTTATTTTATTTTATTTTATTTTATTTTATCTTATCTTTTGGTACTGGGGATCGAACTCGGGTCATTGTGCTTGCACAGCAGGCAGGAAACCACTGAGCTAAATTCCTAGCCCAACTTGGGTATATTATGAACAGCCACTACCTGCCACCTTTAGCAGTCACAATTAATGAATGTAATTTCTTATGTAACTACTGAATGCATTTTCTTACAGGGGGTGGGATTATTAAATGAAAACTACACTTTAGCCAGGTATGGTGGCAAAGGCCTGTAATCCCAGCAGGTGATGAGGCTGAAGCAGAAGGATCCATAGATCAAGCCCAGCCTGTGCAATTTAGCAACTCACCCAGACCTTCTCTCAAACTAAAAATAAAGGGAGGGGGGGTGATATAGCTTGGTATTAGGTACTGGGGAAAGGAATACATCTCACTAAACCTTAGGAAACTATACTTTAAGCATAAGCATAGTCTGTCAAGTGAATAGAAACTTTGTTTCTTTGTTAAAAGGAGTATTATGATCCAGGTGTGATGGCACAGGCCTGTAATTCCAGAGCTCCAGAGGCTGAGTCAGGAAGATTGCAGGTTTAAAGCCAACCTGGACTATATAGTAAAACTCTATCTCAAAAAATAAAAAAGTGAACATTATATGCAAAAGAGACCTTTAGTGATGTTGAAAAAGTTTTGATACTATGTTGTCTTAGTTTGCTTTCTGTTACTATTACAAACTCCCTGAGATTGGGTAATTTATAAAGAGGTTTATTTATCTCACAGCTCTGTTGAGGGCCTTGTGCTGTGTCAGTTCATGGCAGAGAAGTGGAAAGGGGAAATGTGCCAGAAGTGCACTTCTATGATGGAGAGGGAGGGGAGAGAGACCTGATTTAACACAGCCTCCTCTTACCATAACTGAGTCAGTTCCCTGCCCTAGCTCACTTCCCCCATATATATATCCAGTCTCAAATCTATGAATGAGGGCAGTGCCCCCTTGGGCCAAGTACTTCCTCATAAGCCTCCATTCTTAAAGACCCCACCTCCTCTCCATACTGTTACATTGGACACCAGGCAGCCAGTGCCGGAAACTCCATGGCCAAGCCATGTGTAAACCTTACCACCTCTGTGAAGCAAGCAAGTGATGCTCTTTCAGTCTTGGTGCCATGGACACTTTAGGGCCAGGCGATTCCTTATTGCAAGAGTCTGTCCTCTGTGTCACAGTGTATGTAGCAAAGTCCCCAGTCTCTCTATCCACTGGATGCCAGTAGCACCCCTCCCTGCAAATGGTGACACTTAAAAACATCTCAGATATTGTCCCCTGGGGAAGTTTCCCCTATTGAAAGTCACTGAACTTGAATGAAGTGTGACTGAGAAAAAGGTAGCACCTACCACAGTGATCAAGAAATTTATGTTTCCTCTTGTGTACCCTGGTGCATACCAATTGAGTAAGCTAATTTAAGCTAAGTAATACAAGAAACAAATTTTCTCTATCTGTACTGTAGCTTTGATACTAACAGATGAGCTAGGTGTTCAGGGTGTTTCATAGCATTAGATGCTGTATCCTGGAGCTGGGATCTAGGAATTCTTCTAGCTGGCTAGGCTTGAATTAAGATGTGATTCATGGGGAGAGCTTTCTGGGAGATGGAGAACAATACATCCTCCATTTATCTTAGATCACATTTAATATTTAGGTTTTCTAGACAATTAGACTAAAAATTCTGAAACTGATAAAATGTGGCACACTTTGTCTTCCATTCTCCTCACTTTGTTCCAATGGGTGCTAGGTCTTTTCTGATCCCTGCGCTTCAGCAAAACAAGATTCTAGCATCCATTGCTTCTCAATTTCTCTGTATGATGAATGAGTGAATCTTCTTATATATTTTGAGCCAAGGAGCTTAAAAAATCATAATAGCTTCCAGATTTACCCTCTCTAATGTGATTTGAATTTGAGTAGCGCTAAGACTGAAAAGGATGAGTAGAGTGGAAATTTTTAATTAGGATAAGGCCACTGACTATGTTTTTGGTCCAATCAGCCCTTTAGTGCTTATAGCACATTATAGAGTTGTATTTTGTTTGCACCTGACAGTGAAAATCATGACTTCAAAACACTAGAAAGTCGCTTATCACACCTAGATAAAGACGAGTCCAGTATCTCACACAGTGAAGCACTGATTGATTGAAAACCTTGGTGGGCATTGTGAGGCCCGAAGCATAAGCGTGGGGAGGCAGCTTTCCATTGCTAAGAGAAAGCTCTGAATTTCCTTTGTCGTCTTAAATTTCTGTATCACCTATGTCTTGTGAAGTCACCAAATCTCATGGTTTTATTTCTTTGAACATCTCTTGAGTATTCCTGTCACTTCTTCATGGGATGTTTGAGCAGTGAAAGACTCTTTTAGCTGAGTGTCTCTCTTCTGGTCCCCAGCAATGTCCAGACAAGTTGTTTTAAGCACAAGTTTTGGTGAATCACAAAAGTCTCCTGGACCCTCCATACATGGCGCTCTCTTTTCTAGTCAGCTTTATCTTCTAGTAAAAGAAGCCTGTTTTCCAGCATCCAGAGTTGTTTTTTTCCTGATTCCTGAACAGCACTGATTACTGTTCTTTGCTTTTGCTTATCATTTTAGTATTGCATGGAATAAAAATATTTCTTCCTGCCATCTGATCAGATTTTTACTCACAGAACCCCAGGTTCAGCAGAAGCCTTCCTCCTGCACAGAACTGCCCATAACTCATTTTCTATTGAGCTCTACTTGCTTATATTTTTAAAGCGCTGAGTTCAGGCATTAACTAGCAAGTGAGGATGAATACATACTTATTTTGGCCCTTTGTTCAAAATGATAACAGTTTATGTATATATTTTGCCACCTACTTTAACTAATTAGTAAATCCCTGAAAGATAAATATTTTGTGCTTTTTGCATTTCATGTAGCGTATTATTATGTGCCTAACAAGTGCTTAGTAGAGACTTAGATTGCCAGCTGGCCAGGCACTAGCTGTGTTCTGATTGTATTTTAAAGCCACAATCCAGAGACTCACAGAAACTGATGCCATCATGTCCAGCCCTGTGTTTAAGTAAAGAACTTCAGTGTGTCAGAGAAGAGAGGTTTTTTAGATCGAAAGCTGAGGGTGGTACCTTGAAAAAGTAAAATCAGACAGCAGTTTGTAAAGGAAGTCTGCTTAACTGATTTGTGAGAGAGACATGAATTTTGCTGCAATTCCCATTTTGGATATGCAATATATGCCCCTGTGAATTACTTAGGTAATCCAAATGAGTAAATGTGAAAATAGTAGTTAACATATGTCAGAAAGCATTTGCATGCAGAATTCTAAGTGATTTTCATTTTCTTCTTTTCAAACACACAGGTATATCTTGCCACTGCCTACATGGACATTTGAAAGTGCCTGCATCAAACACTTGCAAGCATGGAGACCTCTTCCATGCTTTCCTCATTGAATGATGAGCGTAAGTCTGACAACTACATTGAGCCTCACTACAAGGAATGGTATCGGGTAGCTGTGGACACTCTGATAGAACATGGATTAGAGGCATACCAAGAATTTCTTGCCAAAGAACGAGTTTCAGACTTTCTAGCTGAGGAAGAAATTAATTATATTCTGAAAAATGTCCAGAAGGCTGCCCAGAGTACAGCACATGGAACTGATATTTCTTGCGATGAAAACTCATCTTCGGGAACCTACTGGCCCATTGAGTCAGATGTGGAAGCTCCCAATCTTGATCTGGGCTGGCCTTACGTGATGCCTGGACTCCTAGGGAGTACCCACATAGACCTCCTCTTCCATCCCCCGAGAGCACAGCTGCTTACAATAAAGGAAACCATTAGGAAGATGATCAAGGAAGCAAGAAAGGTAATAGTGTTTCTATCTTGAAATGAGAAATTTTGAAATGTGGAAAACTAACATGCATAGTGTAACAGATATGTATGTCTACATGTATGAAGCAGGTCCCTTAGTTTTAGGAAAGATAACTGTGGATTCATAAGAAACTTGTACTTTGCAGATGTCATATGGACCTGGGGAGAGGCGGTACATCCCAGCTCCAGGTGGAGAGATCCCTCTCTTCATAATGTGCCCAGGCGCTAATATCTTAGCCCTTGAAGGGCAAGATATGTGGACTAGGAATAAAATTATTTGATGTATTCCTAAATTTTAAGAACTTAAAATTTTCTTTATTCTCTGAAAAGAAATATTTTGGTGAATCTGGTGAAATTTTCTTTGTTCTCAATAAGACTAATTCTGCTTTATGTGATTACATAAACTATGGTTTTATTTATCTGTTTTCTGAGTTATGTGGAAACAGTATAAAAGCCAGATGATAATTTAGTACTATAAAATGAAGACCTCAGGTATTGGGCATTTTAGGGCCTTGGTGCTCTTTATCAAATATTTATATTGCCTTATAAATCTTACAAGTCCTATTTCAGAGCTCAGATAAAATTGCAGATATATTCCTGTAGTCAATAAGTAAAAATTATTGACAGTTTTTTTATATATCCAGCATCATGGAAGACACTTTGGAGAATCCAACAAAGTTTCCCAAGCACAACTTAGAATTTTAAAATGTTTGGGCAAAATATTATGATGTTTAATTAGAGTATCTATTAGTTATGGAGACTGCCTGGTGCACACATTTATATTTACACAGGACTTGAGGAGGCCTGTGATGGTATTTCTTTCTTCCATGTCAACACATAGCAATTATGAAATATGGAAATAATAAGATCTAGTGTGGTTCATATGACAGGCAACTAAAAATCCAACCATTGGTTGAGGGAGACACAATATGCTGAGGCTAATGTCAAGTGAAGGTTTTGCAAGTGCAAGTTGATTTTATCCCCAAACCTTCTGAAGTCAAATAACCAGACTTTTCAGCTGTGTTATCTTCTTGAGTACTAGTATGTTGCAAAAAGTGCTGAACTATTCCTACTGTTAAAAATTAAGTATAGAATCAGACATAATAGTTGACCAAATTTTATTAATGGGTTCAAATGTTAATTCAAGTTTCTAAATTGAACCATGAGTGTTTTAAAAATTATGCCTTGTGTTCTATGATCAAAAATAGTGGTATTTTATAAAATAACAGAAAACTAAAGAATGCATATGTGTCCTTCTAAAGGGAAAATAACAAATGTCATATATTAACATTTACTAATTTCTTTTTTCTTTCTTTCTGGTGTGTGTGTGGCGGGGGGGCACTGAGGATTGAACCCAGGATCTTTGCACTGAGCTACAACCTTTACCCTTTTAAAATTTTTAATTTTGTGACAGGGTCTCACTAAATTGCTATGTTGTCTGGGCTGGAGTAAACTCGCCGTCTTTCTGCTTCAGCCTTGCACAGTGCTCAGATTATAGGCATGTGCCACCATGCCCAGCACATTTGTAATGTTTGTTAGAGGACATTATATGCTTTTGAAAGTCATTAGTGGTAGAGAACTGTATTACTGATCAGCTGCCCCATAGATGGCGAGGAGAAGGTGAACATATGAAGACGTGCTTCCCGGATTCAAGTTGGGAATGTGTATAAGGCTGGGGCAGGAAAACTGGAAAGTGTAGCATGCAGGTGAAGATTAGTACTGTGGTGACCTAGCATTTATGTAGTTATCACCCTATTTCCTTTGGGCCACACACTCAGTGCCACAAAACAGACATAATTCAGGAGGTATTACTAAATTTTTGGGCTAGCACTCACTGGAAACTGAACATTAGTTGTGACTTTTTGATGTATTTTTCTTTGCAAGGGCATTGTGTGTTTAGTGAGTCTCTAAAAGTAATACCATTCCCCTGGCCATTGTCTGCTGGGAGCTCTCTTGGAACAACAAGTGGAGGAAATTGAAGAATTTTCTATAGAACAATGTAATGTTTTGCTTCTCTTGCATAAAATCAAAATGACATCAAATAAGACATAGAATGCTACATATACATATCTAAGCCGAATTCAAAAAAGAGATTTGATCAAATTGAGTTATAATACAATTGAATATAAATCATAGCAATTTTGTTGTTGTCTTTCCAAAAACATTGAAGAATATGCTAGTTTTTACCCAAATGCAATAAATACTGAGGGCAAATTGGCTATCTATGCATGGAAGGGATATTTATCAAATATTTTGGGAGTTTCTTCATCTGACACTTATCTATTTAAAGATTTTTGAAGAATCAAATACTCTGGGCAAAATTCATTGACTGGATTGTTTTAAAAAATTAAGATTGTTTAGCTGATAACGAGACAAGGTCCTGTAAATAATTTTAAAGTAAGGACGAATATTATTATGAAATAAAGAGCTTGTCAGAACATGTTGCTTTTTAAATATGAAGCTTGGTTTTCACAACTATCATTTACTCAACAGAAAGTCACGTTCTGTTCTTAACCTGCAGAAGCAAGATAAGCTTTCAGGTTTTGAATCTTTTTCCAAGGATACTTCTTTTTATAGATGATTTAGTGGATATGTCTGTGTTATGGGGACAATCTCTCTTTCTCATGAAGTATTTGAATAAGGTAGATTTAATGGATAGAATAATTTCTAGCTCCTTTTCTTAAGGAGATTCCTTTGGTAATCAACATTGTAAAACTCTGCTAAAATATGAGGCCAAACAAGTAGGGATAAGAACTGGCAAAGAAGAACCTAAGAAGAGATCACAGAAAAGAACAGATCCATTTTCACTGTTCTGTTTCCAATTGAGATAAGACATTAATGGAAATAAATCTTAAATTAATTAATTGCTAAGAGGTCTGAACAATTAAAATCTGATCATGAAACACCAGGTTAACCTTTTAGTACCTTGAGAAAGGAGTTAAAAATAATGTTATATCTCATCTATCTTTACTGGAAATAAGTCTAAATTTTTTGTGTACTGATGATTGAACCAAGGGCCATACACATGCTAGGCAAGTGCACAACCATTGAGCTACATACACCCTTGACCCCTGAAATATTTTTTTAGTATCACTGTTACACTGTTGTTCCTAGTTTAAGTTGTACTGTTTATGAATCATTTTTCTTTTATAAATAGAAGATGCTTTTATAGTATTTTTAAAAATCTACACTTTTAATCACTTATACATATTAGTTTTGATAATTGTCCTTTAGACATTGTTTCCAGGCTTTTCTCCCCTTTCTTTTGCATATTTGCTTATGTTGTTTGAGAATTTTCCTTTGGGAAAATGCAATTATAGATACTATCTTACATGTGCCCTAAAGGAACATATTTTAATTTATTCGGTTTTTTTAGGCTTTTTCTATTTTTTACCGTGTGGTTGACATAATTACATTTGGGTCAGCTTCATAAAGTCTGACAGGGTCTAGCAAGACTTTCTCCCAAGTAATTACTTGTCTCTCAAGGAATGTTCCCAAGGTAATATATGCATGTATTCCTAATTACTGTGAACTCTTCTTATGAAAACATCCCCTTTAATTACTTTATAAAAAGTCATCTTTCATTAAAGTGATTTTTTTCCAGTCACTCAATGGTACCTATTCACCAAGTATGACTTCTGCTAGCATTGAGTATGGAAACATTTAATCAGAATGTCTTTTGCCTGTGTTTCCTAATTCTAGCCTAGATTCTTTTGTGAATTGTGACTCTTACTCTTGCAAAATATTGAATCAAGTTGGCACATAGCTGAAGTACAGTGAGAATTAGGGCACATAATCCCTGGGTGCTCTGTTATGTCACTCAAGTTCAGGTTTTGATTGCTCCCTGAGTCACTATTCCTGGGTGTGTCTGTTTGGCCCTGAGAGCTGTTAGTCACACAGAACAAAGTGATCTGTTACTGTAGTTGGCCCTGTGGATGCAAAGGAGAAGGTGAACTAATGGAGGTGCTTCCAGGGGCCAGCTGGTGGCATAAAAGTAGTGTTAAACTAGAGGTTTAGCCACCTGAGTGGCACACTAACTAGTTTTAGCATTGAACAACTCATTGTCCCTTCATAGGTATCAGCACTTACTCAGTAAAGGATAAGAAGCAAAAGCTCTTGGGTGTTTCTAAAATCTAGTATGCATATCCAAATTTCTAATTGTTTTAAAAATAGTATTATATTGCTTGCTGAACTAATCCATAATAGGAATGATTTTCATCATGTCACAGTGGTACTGCCAGGTGCATCACCTTATAACTATCCTTCTACCCGACTTGGTGACCTTTCTGTATTTATCTCTGCCTTTCTTAGGCTAGTATCACCTCTCTCCTAGTGTTCTCAGTTTTTAATTATTTCCTCTCTGCCCCATCTTTTTCCCAACTTGCACTGTAAATCCTTTCATTCTTGGAATTTGAGCCATAATTAGTTCTAGGAAATATATTTTACTTAGGTTTAATAATGTTATTATCTTGTGACATTAAATTGAATAGCTTTTCTCTGAATAAAGGGGATTACTATATGTTAATACATATTTTAGTTTAAGTATATGTGAGAAAGAGGTTAGGGAGAAGGAAGAAGGGGATAGAGAGAGTGTTAGGGAGAGAGGGAAAGAGAAGGGAGGTGGGCGGGGGTGAGGACAGGACCCTGAGCCTTGTTTGAATTGCACTGACTTCCTGCTGGAACTAGATGGAGAGAGTATGTTCCATGTTCTCCTTCCTTGATTCATTCACCTCCTTGCTCCTTCAACAACTACAACTCTGTATTAATTGTAGTGGGGGACCTCAACACCCCACTGTCACAAATAGATAGATCAACTAGACTAAAAATAAGTAATGAAATACTAGAACTCAATCGAACTCTTGAACAAATGAACTTAACAGATGTTTACAGAGTCTTCCACCCTACAAAATCAGAATACACATTCTTCTCAGCTGCACATGGGTCATTCTCAAAAATAGACCACATACTCACATATAGAACATGTTTAAGTAAGTG